CCACCAGGCTGGAAAAAAAACCCCAAAATATATATACCCACCAACGCACACACACCTATATGTATATAAGCTATCTGCAGAGCAGAAGCCAGGGGAGAGGGGGAGGCTGCGTGCTCCCCCGGTGCGGGCTGCGGCTGGCAAGGGGAAGGGGTTTTTTGCCTTTCCCACCGACTGCTGGTTCCTGTCACCGCTCCCCCCCGGAGCGAAGTGAATCTGATGTCGGTCATTCGCACGGGGCGGGGGTGCAGTGTCTTCGTGCGGGTTATCCTGCTTGCGGGAGATGCCGCAGATTTAGAGAGAGCGTGCGAAATTCATAAGGGCAAGTGTTGCCTGCGGATAAGCTAAAAGGAAACAAGGAGCATGATGCGGGCATGACAAGGAGTTTCATCTGCAGAAGTAGATTCACTGGCAATGTTTCGGCGTGCTGTGCTCCTGAGTAAACAGCCTCTGGAGGTAGCGGGAGATACAGAGCTCCGTCTATGTGGAGGGAGTACAGAATGGATAGTTGAGGTCTAAGGAGAAAAGTGAAGCAGAAAGCAGCTTTTTAGTGCGATAGCTTAAAGGTGCAGAGCAGGGGAAGAAGCTTCTGTACCTCAATGAATGGCAGAAAAGATGTGAAAACCCAATGTCTGATGGATTTCTATTTTCCCTTGATGGTTTAGGAGTGGGGTTTGCTACTCGGCAGGTGGGGAATGTGACTAAACCCACTGTGATTATCAGCAGCGAGGGGGACAAAGTAGTGATCAGGACGCAGAGCACTTTCAAAAACACAGAAATCAGCTTTAAACTTGGAGAGGAATTTGATGAAACTACTCCAGATGATAGAAACTGCAAAGTAAGTGAACTTTCAGGCTGCCGTTGTTTCTTTTCCTTTTCTTTTCACCCTCGGCTTATCTCTCAGCATGGTAGGGTCAGAGGAAGAAAATGTAACTTCTGTTACAGCCAGTTGTAGCTCTGTGAAGGACAGGGGAAAAAAAAGACAAGACTGCATCTTACTCGCCTGTGTGCACAACTTCTTGTCTGAAGCCATATCCTATGTCTCCAGCTCACTTTCTACCTTCCGGGCTGGAGGAATTCTGTTAGCTCTTCATTCATCTCTGTACCAAAGTAACTTAAATCTAAAGCTCATTTGGAATAACTTTTTCCAGCTGCAATGAAGGAATGACTTCTCCCTGCATCTTTTGGGGGCTTAAACTAAGTAAAGCGTATCTGAAACGATGGTTCATGTGGGACTGGAATTTACAGGAAATAGCTCATTGCATCCTTTGATACAAACAAGAATCGTAAGGAGCTCTTGTTTGAAACAAGGACGATTGATGGGGTTTGGGTTTAAAACGGCTAGGACTGCTTTATCGTTCTAGATCCACATGCATCTGTTGAAGAGAACTGAGTAGAATACTGCGCGCTTCTTCATATGTGGGTAGAATCGCAAATACTCCAAATAAATGAGTGTCCTTATATTTTCTGATATCTCACAGTCAGTTGTGACCCTGGATGGAGACAAACTAGTGCATGTACAGAAATGGGATGGCAAAGAGACAAACTTTGTTAGAGAAATAAAGGATGGCAAAATGGTAATGGTAAGTATAAAAATGACTGAGTATTTACATACACTGCTAACACTCCTTACTTACATTTGTCTCAAGCTTTGTGAACCGATAGTGTTACTTATACTCATAACTTGAAACTGATTGTTGAGGAAAGCTGGCAGAGCATTTTCAAATGTTTATTTTGTTTGTTTTGCATTTTGTTTTGACAACTGAAAGAATGCTAATGGTTTCGGCTAGGCCAAGTTATTGATTTCCAAGGTGGATCAGTCTTTTCTAGAATTTATGTAAACGCCCGAGCAAAACAAAATGCAGTTCCGGTGAGCTGCAAAATATATGATGTTCTTGATTATATAGGCAAAAAACCATTTTGGATGAGTGCTAATATGGATTTCTTAAAACACTCGTTTTATATACGTATGTGTAAATAATATTTAATTACATAGAGTAAGTGTTTCCCTAGGATAATATAAGTTAAATATTGTATGAGGTAATAGCATTTTTGTATTTAATAGTAAAGGGATTATTCCTCCCAGCTTATTTAAAAACTATGACTATAATAGCAATTTTGCATGGAGAATAATCTCTCTTCTTTTAAATTCACATCCTCCTCTGACTTTCTGGGAAGAGTATGGCATGAAAACAATGGTACTGAAGTTGCTGAATCTAATGTCTAGGCTGACATTTCTCATGCTTATTTTTGGCATAGAGATGTAACTTTCAAAAATAAAATCTCTTCAGCCATATTAATTTATGTGACTTTTCTATTGGAGGAAAACAGTTAGGTCTGTTTTCTAAATGTTTCAGAGAGGGCCTGTGTAGATGACTGAAACCATATTTGGTTTTAATTATTTGAGCTTCCAAATAATTAAAACTTTAGAGCATACAGTTAGTGCAACACAATGTGACAGGTGGTTCAAGGAAAAATATATAGCTGTTTCCAAAAACAAAACATACAAATACGCAGAAAACCATTCCATGTGGAATCTGAATACAGTGGGGCGCAATATTCCACCTCAGAACATGGCTCCAATGCTCACACACTATAGTTACTGCTTTTACAAAACTGCAGTAACTAAAATAATTAGTAGTTTTAGCTACATACATTTACAGAAAGCATTTATTTTAATATGAGAGTCTCCTTAAGTATATGCCTAAACATAATTGTATAGAATATGGATACAGAGGTTTTGAATCTCAGATTGCACACTTTGCAATGTGATCAGCTATGAGAAAATGAATGTTAAATCTGTGTTGCAGCAATGCTATATTTAAGAAATTGTATTCACAAAATTAGAGAAATTAAAGGGTCACTTCTAACCTCACTTTAGTTGACCTGTAGAATGTACATTCTGTTTCTTGGGTTTGAAAGTAGCAAGGAGAAAGTTACTGTTACTGTAGGAACCATAACTTTGAGTTTTTGCCTCTTGTTCATGTAAAATATTGATAATCTAGACCAAATTGTTTTTGTAAAAATTACATAATGTCTTGTCCTACTATGGACTTCTTGACGTGCGTTACGTAATTACGGAAAATGATCCAGCATCTAACATGTCTGTGTTTTCCTTGGACTTGCAGACTCTCACCTTTGGTGATGTGGTTGCTGTTCGCCACTATGAGAAAGCGTAGACTTTACCTGACCTCTGTCCACATGTTACTTCTGCTGGATGGATTAACGTACTGTCCATAACTGAACGTAGCTAAAAAGCACATTCCTGGCATGAAAGGTTAATAAAAGGGTTTGAGGGGGTTGTTTTTTTAGAAAGAACTTTTATACTATCAAATTGGCAAGCTTGTTTTGTAAAGTGCAACAGGTTAAACTTTGCATTAAATCTCTGAAACAATCGCCTCTCTCTCTCTCTCTCTTTTTTTTTTTTTACAATAAATAGAACATGCTTGATTTGTTTTGAAATGGAGACAAATTAAAATGTCAAACAAATGAAAATGTTTTTTAAATCTGTGCTCCTTTTGCATTTAATGGGCTAGTATTCCAGTGCTTTGAAGGGAAATGTCTTAAATTTCTTTTTCTAAGTAAACTAGCAGTGGGTGAAAAAAACTCTGTCAGTCTCTGCATTTGATATAGAGTACACAGGAAACAAAAAATTGCCTTCATTCTATTTAAGTAGCTTATTTTTGCTGGAGAAATCTACAGCCCCTATCTTTATATGTGTAGGCAGATAGGTGAGAGAGAGCATACATGAGCACTGCTTTCCCAGTTCAAGCCATCTTCAGTACTTCTCTTCACGTGACACTTTATCTTGGGTCTGCTAAGGCAGACAATAGAGAGACTGCCTTCAGTTTCAATGAGGTTCTTGCATTTTTGTTTTTAACTGAGTTATGAGTATTTTGGAGTTCGGGTGGTTTTTTTTTTTTTTTGGCTGATATTCAAGAGACTGAAGTAAATTGGAGTGCAAAGATGGGAGTGAATCACAGGATGGGAGGAAAGTACCAATATGATAGGTCAGAACCAGGGCAACCTGCAGTACAGAGCTTATGTTCCATCAGTTGCCACAGGGGTGGGAGGAGAACACAGGGAAAACAGTACAAGACAAGCTATGTTTCATAGCTAATCTGTACTGGAGGTCATAATTTGTACAATGAGCAATATAAAATAAAATGCTGCTTAAAAGAGATTAAAAAGAAGAAAGAAATTAAGACTTTATTAATGAAAAACCTTGGAACAGGGTAAGACTGCCCTCCACTTCAGCTTAGTTCTTAAAGCAGGACAAAGAAAATTGCAACAGGTTGCTGGCACCCTGGAAGAAAATGTTTCAGAGGTCCCACGTTCTCTGCTGAGACACTGACTCAGCGCACCAGGCCAGCGTGTGATTAGCTAAAGCCTTTTAAACAAATGAGGCGGAGTTTAGCTGTGGCGTTTAGCGGGGTGGTCCTCGAGCGGTGTTTGACTCCAGAGGGAGTTCGAGGAAAGGAATTCTGCTGAATTTCCCAGGCATAATACTTTGCTGTCCCATTCTGCAGATTTCCTACTTGCTTTAATGGGAAATCGCTCTGGCTTCTTGCTTCCTTGCATAGTTTTCTTCCCTAAGGGCTAAGATACCATGGATAGCTTATCTCACTCATCCGATAAAAGTTCAGATACAAGTTTGGCCGCTAAGCAACAAGAATACAAGATAATTTTCTATTATTAGGCTTACTTTTTCGCAAAGAAGCTTCCTGCAAGGAACATCCAAATCTATTTTCTCTTTTGGAGAATGCTATCGATCTTTGAGAAAACTGCTTCCTTAGTTAGGAGCCATCGTAAGTATGTTTTATTTGGTGGATATGGATCATTTAAAAAAAATCTATGAACTACTTTTTTTCCATCAGAGAAATGAAAAGTAGGACTGACTTCAGTGGTACGTGGAACAGGATTCTGCATGTTTTGGGCTGCTTCAGCCTCTATCATACAAGCATGTTTAAACTGTTTCTTCTCTCCTCAGCTTTTATTGGCTCATTTAAATTTTGGCTTCAGCGCCTAATATAGTTTGTGTCGGTCTCCCCTGCATTATAGCTTATTCCCTCATATATTCATTGTATGGCTGTGTTTCCCAGCCACCCCTTCCCGGAAAACTGGCAGCAGGTACTTTTACTTCATCATCAGGGAAAGTAGACTTGGGTCTCCGTTAATGGCGTTCATTTTCATGAGAAGTGATTGACAGGGCCATGAAGTAAAACAAATTAAAGTTTTTTTATTAAATATGAGGAAAGCAGAGATAGATTGGCAAGACCTGGTTTACACATAAACCCTGAATGGTAAATCTTTTACACCACAGTCGCTTTTAAACAGTTACTTTTCCTGCACCCGTATGCTCTATATAAAACATACATCCATCATAGAAGCTCACTGGCAGGGGACTTTTGCCATCCGAAAGATAAACAGTATTAATGCCAGATTAAACGAGGGATAAGCAAAGTGTTACGTGTGAAATGCCTGCGGCCCTATCCAGAGGGGAAAGTGATTTTCATCACCACAGATGTTTCACATCCCTGCGCCCAGGGGAGCAAAGCTGCGCGGCTGCCCAGGTGCGCGCGTGAGCGCCCAGCTCTGCTGGTCCGTGACAGCGCCAGCGGTTGGGCCCTGCAAGACCGCGTTCAGCCACAGCTCCCAAGCCCTTACAAGGGGGAAGCCCCTTGCTGCCGGTCCCGAGGGAGGCACAGAGGCGGCAGAGGACACAATAGGACACAACAGGCCGGCGCCCGAGTGACCCGCTTCCTTGCCGGCTGCGACCTCCCACCCACGGCGCCACCGCTTTCCTCCGAGGGCCGCCTGAGGTGCGGCGGGAGCGGGAG